AAACTCGACCAACACGCGTACTAGGTAAATATATGGATCTGTTGAAACATAAATACTAAATTACGGCAACATGTATGTTTATACACACACACAAACGTTATGTTATAACAAATTTTATTGGTGACGGGAATCTGGATCTCAATATCCGGGCATGAATTCTTGCGTCAAATTGTGTCCATAACTTGTTATTGCCCATTGAGTAGTGACGGGATTTCACGGTCTCCTCACACTTTCTTGAATCAAACTGTTTGGATACGTCGTTATCCATTAGCGTTGCCTCTCTCGTCGCGGGCTTGATCATCGGATATTTCCCATCTTGTCTAAGTCTATACATGACCACAAAGTTGTCCCAATGGTCCGAGTAATAATCGCAGTCCGTGTCTATAAAGATTGTCTCTACCGAGGGGGAATTCTTAAGCAAATGCACAAGGAAATTTTCTTCACTAAGACACCCGCAGTACCCAACCATTTTAACAACCTTCAGATTTTTATGACGAAACCTCTTTGCCTCTTCTGGAGTTACTTCTGGAAATGGTATCATGCTTTTTATCTGTCACAAACAACAGCAAAGAACTAATTACAACGAAAATTTAACATTATAAATTAAGAGATAGAGATGAATTAAGTACCTCGTAATCTAAATACCATGGGCGGGACACCAAGTAGTCTATCTGTAACAGGATGAAAAATACAGGATTCGGTGATTAAAAAGAAAAATGGCAAAGGAACTCATTCCTATAAGTATGATTCTTTGAGCTCACGTTAATTTCAATTTCAGTCAAATAATTACGCAGAAATGCAAGTTTGACATTCAAAAAATGCAGCATCATTTAAACCACTTTCAAACTATAATAAAAGATAAATTCATCCATACACTGTTACATAAAATTTCAAACCCAAGGTGTGGCAACAAAATAAGAAACCATACCATAAGCATTCATCCAACACGGAATGTGATATATGAGTTACGCCAACATGGTAAATATTATATTAAATACAAAACATGAAAGAACTTGAACCAGAAAGAGCTTTCTCATTCATCGTGAAAACTTGTTATCGAAGCAAAATGCTATTTACCCTTTCTTTATTTATTGGATTATTATGTTCTATGGGTTGCATAATTGAACAGTTAAATTCCTGTCATTAGATATCAAGCTTGATAGCCAAGTTATTCATCTCAAACAACAACACGTAAACAAAAGCATACTTTATTTGAAATAAATTAAACATAAAATAAGCAGTTGAAACATTTACCTTGAGTTTAAACTCGTGAAGGAGAGGAGATGCATCGATCAATGATGTGAAAAAGAGAAGGCTCCGGCCAACTTTTGACACAATATTCAATTCCAGCTGCTTTAGAGATCCAAACTGATGAAATTCAGGAGGAGCAATTGTTCTCTTGATGCTCTGTGACAAAAAAAAAATGAAAAATGTCAGTTCGTTCGTGATGGTTAAGATATGTCATTCGGTGATGTAATTCACGTACCTCCCTTTGAACATCCTCAGTTTGAAGATTCAAGACAAGCTTCACCAGTTGAGCTGAATAGCTCGAGTGTTTATTAGGTTCGTACACGAAGGACTTACAAAATACCCCACCGAGAGTTAGCTCGAAGGGATCTCGAGTTTTCTTGAACGGTAGACTGATTTCACTTCCTTGGTACGTACACGAGGCAAGATTTGTGGCAGATATCTCCAGACTTTCGAGATTGCAACAATCAGATATTTCAAGTTCCTTCAGATTTGGCAATGGATCGACAACTCGAAGATGTTTTGTAGCATCGGAGGCCCTTATGCATAACTGTTCAATACAAGGACACGAGTCTAGGAAATATTGAACCATCTCATCTTGTATATCGACGTCAACCAATTTAAGTGTTCTTAGAGAGACAAAACCATTAAGGTATCTTAGGGAGCTCCTCATAGACCCGAACTGACGGTACTTATCACGATGAAATTGCGTTAGCAATTTTACAAAGCTAGGAAATTCGTAGCTGCAGTGAAAGCCACAGTCGGCCGACAAATCCAATTCAAATCTTTTTACTTGCTTAAGCATGGCGGAATATACCCAATGATCAATGGCAGTAGATTCAGTCTTTTGCCTTGTATTAGAAAAATGAATAACCAAACCATCAACACGGTTATACAACTCGAGGACGTGTTTCACGAAAGCTCTGAACTTTTTCCGAGTAGCAATATCCTTATCATGAAATTCCAATGTGACAGACATAGACATCCATAGATATCTCCATCTGGAAGAGAGAACGCTCGTTCTGACAGCATCTTTGATGCTCATACGAGACAGAATGTCAACAATGACATCATCAGGCAGCTCTTCAATCCCAGTTCCCTGCATCATCATAATATAGTAAGCAAGATTTACGAAACAGCATATATAATAAAACCACAACCGGCGTGCAATAAAAAAAACTCATTACGAACCTTGTGCGTCCGCTGTCGTTTTCTTGGGGTTTGTGTATCTAAATCCGCCTCGCGCTTCTTCACCTCCATCGCTATCGCAAGTTTTGGTGAAAAACTTGTTTGAATAACCAAAAAAAAATTAAATTTGTTCAACGGAAAGAGAGAGATGAAAAAATCAGTTCTTCCTACAAACGACAAACACGAATTAGAAGGAATTGAATTGTGGGATATGAATCTGAAACAGTGCGGAAGAAAAATTGCGATCCGATTTAAATTCTACCTGAAATTAGGATTTCTAGGGCACCGATAGGATAGTTAAATAGAAAGGAAAAGGAAGAAGAATAATTATGTTGTTAGAGAGGTTGATAGGATAAAGGGCGACTCAAACTTCGACTCTTAAATACTATGTTTGTAAAAAGCCGGATCCGAGTTGGTCAGACACTGATTCACGATTAATCGGTGCGGCGGTGATTAATCGGTGATAAATCGGAAATAAATCGATTTTTAAAATTTAATAAAATATATTTCTAGATATTATTTATAAATACTCGAATCATATGTAAAAAGATATTTAAACATAGTTCTCCATCATGTATATATTCTTAATAATATAATAAAAATTTAATAATTATAAGATCATAATACATAAATATCCTTATAAAATATAAATAAAAAAACATTTTTTTTGACTTTACATTTATTCATGAACATTTCTGACATACATCATTAGTTCTTTAACAATAACAATTAACATAAACAAAATAAGACATAAACTCATTTTTTTTTTTATTAAAATCTCAACTTTTATTTTGAATTATATATAAAAAAAAAACAAAAAAAAAAAAAAAACCAATTTTTGGTCGATATTTGCCACCGACCGCCTTAAAGATTTGACTAGGGGTGAGTTCGGGACGGGATTTCGGGAATTCGGGATTTTCGGGATCGGGATTTCGGGATTCGGGATAGAAATTTTAAATCCCAATCCCGTCCCATAATATTAAATCCCGGTAATATCGGTATCCCTAAATATTTCGGGAATTCGGGATTGGGATCGGGAATCCCATATTTTGGCTAAAAACTAAAAAATATAAATATTTTTTTTTTCATTAAAATTATTTTATACATTAAACCAACTTGAATATGTGAGATAAATACTATTTTTATTGCACTATTTATTTTTACCACAAAACTTGGAACAAATGAAATTTGAATTTTTTTAAAATAAGTTGAAACGAGCAACTATATTGAATTTCTCATCGCGGCGACAAGTATTTATAGGGGCTACGTACATAAAGGTACCTATATGAATGTATGGATACGTATTTGTGTGTATGCGATAAAGTTGCAACAAATTAGATTTTGATATCTATTGGTTAAA